GTATAAGACTTGTGTAATAAAAACTTCAAGACATTGAAGAAAGATGTTGAGTGGGCCTGGGGAGATGGCTCAGGAGTTAAGAACACTGACTGCTCTTGCAGAGGACCAGGGTTTAGTTCCCATCACCCACATGGTGTCCAAGAACTGTCCATAACTACAGTTCTAGGGGATCCAGTGCCCTTTTCTGACCTCTGTGGGCATTGCACAACACAGGTGCACTTACATACATGCAGACAATACACCCATACATGTCAAATAAAAAAAGATATTTTTTTTCAGTCTTTTTGAGACAAGGTATCCCTGTAGCCCCAGCTGGCCTGGAATTCGCTGAAGTTGAACTCACAGAGATCCACCTGCCTCTGCCTCCCAAGTACTGGAATTAAAGGTATGCACCACCATGTCGAGCCAAAATAATAAATTATTCTTTCTGCATTTTTTAAATTGATTTTTTAGTTTTTCATACAATATAGTTTGATAACATTTAGATTGCTACCCTCTCCACCACTCCCCCAACCCCCCCAATTTAATGAACTCATATATATATATATGGCTTATAGAATATGATTTGTGTCCCCCAGTGTCCTTCAGTATGGTTCCATCCACTGGGCCTACCAAGAGTCCCAATCATAGAAGACACTGTCTTTCCCCCTCCCAGAAGCTGTCACTTGACAGAAGTTCCTTAGGTTGGGTTGGGAGTTCTTACCCACTTCCTCATGTCTCTGCTGGAATTTTGTCTGATTTGAACTTGTATAGGACTTGTGCATATTGTCACCATTGCTGTGAGTTCATATGAGTAAGTCTCCAGCTGTCTGGAATACTTTGTTTTCTTGTGGTCATCCACTCCCTCTGGCTCTTACAATCTTTCCTCCTCTACTTCTGCAATGATCCCTGAACCCTGGGAGGCAGAGACTTGAAATAGCTGTCCTATTCAGGAAGAAGCACTCTGTGGCCTCTTGTTCTCTGCACATTGGTTAATTGTGTATCTCTTTATTAATCATCATCTGCTGCATAAGGAAACTTCTGTGGTGAGAGTTAAGATTTAAGACAGTATCTCACTCTGTCGGCCAGACCGACCTGGAACTTATTATGTAGGCCAGCTTGGCCTCAAACCTGGCCTCAATCATCCTGCCTCAGTTTCCCAAATACTAAAATTATAGATATAAGCCACTACACCTAGCTATGAGTACAGCACTAAACACACACTGTACCAAAAGTTCCGCCTGACTGTCTCTACTTTACAATCCCTAAACTAGCCTCTACACCTGTACTGTCCTACCATCAACTATGTTAGGCCCCAGAGAGATGGCTTAGTGGTTAAGAGCACTGGCTGCTCTTGCAGAGGACCTGGGTTTGGTTCCCAGCACCCACATGGTGGCTAACAACCATCCATAATTCCAGTTCTGGGGGATCCGATACCTTTTTCTGGCCTCCATGGGCATTGCATACACATGGTACACCTACATACGTGCAAGTAAAACACTCATAAATAAATAAATTTTTAAAAATTTGGGACAAGGAATTAAACAGTTCTCAAATGATGAAGCACAAATGGCTAAGGAATATATTTTTAAATGTTCAACATTTTTAGTCATCAGGGTATTACAAATTCAGACTATTTGTGAGTTCATCTTAACCCCAGTCAGAATGGCTAAGATCCTATTTTTTATTTTCTAATCATGTGCATAGTGTATATGGGAAGGTATGTGCATGAGTGAATGTGATAGTCATGGAGTTCAGAAAAGGACATCAGATCCTCTGGAGCTGGAGTTACAGGTGGTTGTGAGCCACCTGATGTGAGTGCTAGAAACCAAACTTCGGTTCTCTGAAGAAAACAGTAAGCACTCTTAGCCACCCTAAGCCATCTCTTCAGCCTCCCCTGCCCCCATTATCATTCTTTAACAAATATATGCTAGGGGTTTTCAGAAGCTATATAATATGTAATATTAGAATAGTTTAATGCAGAAGAATCTTACTGTGGTCTGTTATTAAACATGACATTGAAGATAATTACAAAAGCTATATCCATGAAATAGCAATATGGCTTCCTAAACAAAACCTATATAATGACAGTACCAGCTGACATGCCAGTGTGGATAGTGTAAATTTCACCAGGTCCCACTTGGAGATGCAGAGCTATAGGTAATTAATGGCTAATGAAAAAGGAAGAATCAGTTTTCTCTAGGGATGAGCCCTCTGATAGGTTACCCAATCTCAGATGGTCAACTTTAAATACATGTACATACTAGCACCACTACATACTCAGTAGTACACACACACACACATACACACACGTGCGCATGCATAATAATTAAAATTAAGATGTCAGAATATTAAGAGAGTTTGGGGGAACATGGGAGGAATTGAAGAGAGAGGAGTAAAAATAGTGTGAGTGCAGTCCTCATGTATGAAGTTCTAAAAAAATTAAAAATTGATTTAAAGAAGATATATACAAATACAAACAATGCTATTTGGAAATTTCTGGGGGTTTTTTTGTTTGTTTGTTTCCTTTTTTTTTTTTTTTTTTTTTTTTTTAAAATTTGTTTTCAGTCCAAACCCAGGCAGGGCCTTGTGCTTGCTAGACAGATGTTCTACCATCAAGCTAAATCTCCAACCCCATATAATATATATTTCCAGAAAATATAGCATGCTAATATATGATGGGTTTCATTTGTTTATAATAAAGTCCTTATTTTGCGTGGCCCAAATATTTCAGTTACAACTGAGTTAAATATCATAGGTCCTTCAATAACATAGTTCTAATTTGAATTGCAAGCATATTAACTGTAAGTATACAAAATTCATATTTTATTGCTAACTCCTCAATCCACAGATCACTATTATGGATGAATAAAGCCTTGTGGAGCATGTCTTCAAAATCTGTTTTGTTATTTTTAATAGGGTTACCAGATAGTAAGTTTTCTGTGGCTTTTTCCTACCCCCTTTTGTTTTGATTAACCCTTCCCCCACATTTTTCTCCCCCATTCCCATATTCCTTTCCTTGTTTGAGCTTTTCCTCCTCTAGTATTATCCCTCTTCACTTTCATCTTACATACGTGATACTGCCCCCCCCCCCCCTTAAAGTACAACCCCTCTACTTTCTCTCTATAGTTTCCTGGGCCTGACTTACACCTCACTTAGTATAATTTTTCTGGTTTTATCTGTTTACCTGCAAAATTTATAATTTCATTTTTCTTTGTACCTGAATAAAATAAAATACTGCTTCTAGTAGTAATGAGTCACTAAACAAAAGCCATAGTGCCAGATGTGAGATACTTCTGTAAGAGTTATTGATCAGGCCTTTGCCGTTCATTTTAGTTACCCACCAGAATTAGTTGATAAGACCTTATTGCTGAAGATACCACACACCTTGGATGCTAGTTTAGAGAAGTCAAGCTGGAACTGAGCTGGAAGCTTACTCCCTACTAGCTATTTTGTAGTGCTGAAAGGTTCTGTGCAGGCTGCTTTACTTTAGGGGAGTAAGGCTTCAACAGTCTTACTAGCTATGAACTCTATGAACTACAATTCCAGCCTTCCAAGCAAGAAGTGCCCATTGGTACAATAATGGCACAATTGTTACAGGGTAACCAACACTTCCTGATTGGATTTTGATACCTGCCTCACAAGAGGCAATCCATGCCTAGTGCTGTAAACCCAGTAAAAAACCTACTGCTGTTTCTTTGCTGTATTGACATAGCACCAAACCACCTTCTGAATATGTTTATACCCACAGACAAAAGCTATTCTCAGCTTTAATCAGAGAAACCTCTCTTTGCAGTGAGCAGAGATGAATGCAGAGACCCATGAACATTTAAGATGCTATGAGTAGGAGCTGGAGAGATGGCTCAGCGGTTAAAAACACTGTTCTTGCAGAAGACCCGGGTTTGAATCCCAGCACCCACATGGCAGCTAACAACTGTCTGTAACTCCAGTTCCAGGGAATCTGACAGTCTCTTTTGTCCTCCGTGGGCATTGTATGACACCGGTGCACTTACCTACATGCAGGCAATACACACATACACATAAAATAAAAATAATAAATAAAAATTTAAAAAAAGATGCTATGAGTAAAGGATGATGGAGGGCTCAGCCTTAAATGACATTTAAAGCATTCCCTTAAGGCTCAAGGAACATTGTAGAAGAGGGGTCAGAAAGAATGTAAGAGCCTGAAAATGTGGAAGAAGGGCTGTGAAATGCTGTCTTCTGAGCATGACATGGCCATGGCATTCACGAACTCACAGCAGCTTGCTTACTGGCACTGGGTCTAAAAATTAACAGATACTAGAAAGAGGAGGAGGCATTGTATACAGCTGTGTACCCACTGGTGAGCCCAGTAGTCTCTAATGGATAGTGCTAAATCTCTGGTCATATAGATGACTCTGGTTGAACACTGAAGGACAAAAAGTAAAACAAAAAGTCATGAATATGGGAAAGAATTAAGGAGGAGGGGGACTGATGAGTGGTAGAGAAATAGCGCAGAGTGAGGGGATAAAATTTATTAATAAAAAGCTTTATTTCAGGCAATAGGTAGTATTTTATTCCTTTTAGCATGCTATGACAAATTGCTTTAGACTGGGTAGTTTGTAAACAAAAATTTGCTCACAGATTTGTAGGTACTGTCTATTATCAAGATACCAGGGGACTCAGTGTCCCACAAGGTTTGGTACCTTCTGTGTTCTTACAAAGTGGAAGAGGCAGTCAATCCTTTGGGCCTCTTCTATATAGATACTAATAGACGAGCCCTTATTACTTCCCTAGGACCTGACCTGTTACTGCACTGAATCTAGGCAGCAACATATGAAGCTGGGAAGGCACCAACATTCAAACTCAGCCAGTGTTAACTATACAAGTGAAAACCTGTTTTCTGTAAAATTTTCAATTTATAGAATGAATATGAATGAGAAGGATTTTCAGAATTCTTCCCCGGATTGCCTCCTCATTTTTTCATACTTAAGTGAATGTATCTACTCTGCCTAAATCAGCAATCATCTTTTTCTTCATAGGTTTTCTGTGAAGACCCTGATTGATCGGTCTTGCTTTGAAACAATTGATGATTCTTCTCCTGAATTTAACAATTTTGCAGCTGTTTTAGAGCAAATTCTAAGTCACCGGCTAAAAGGTAATAGTATTAATGTATTATTTATTCTTCTTTAAGGATTCTGTATAAAAAGTCAAATTTTAGAACTCTTTAGCTCTGGTGTGATTTAGGTAGCAATCATGCTACACTTTAAGGAGCAACATAATCTATATCAGATTTGCACATCTTTCTAGACTACATTTAATCATTTTGAGTATATTCATTACCATATACAAGAACAAAATCAATGTCCAAAAGTATTTACATTCAAAGCTTATAGTGGGTTGTAGCCCATGCCAACACTTACTCTTTGATTTTAGTCAGCTAACAAAGAAGTATTGTAGACATCAAGCTTACATGCTATTACCTACATATTTCCTCAAATTAAAAACTGGTGAAAAAATTTTAGCAGTAAATACATTAAGAACTATCTAAAATCTTTTTGACTTTGGTTTTCTTAAATCAGAAAGTATATTATATCATTAATATGACTCTCACACAGTTTAAAGGGCAGTGGTCTAACTACTGTAAGTTTCTTTTGCTCAAGTAAGTGACACCCCACCCATGCTTATACAAATGACTCTAAGTAAATGCAATGGGCCACACACAAAAATGACATGAAAGTAGGAGAAAGACTTGTTGGGAAGAAAAAGGGTTCTGTGTGAAGGGGCGGGGATAAGAGAGATAGTGGTGGGGATATGATCATAGTATGTTTTGTGTGTGTGTGTGTGTGTGTGTGTGTGTGTGTGAAATTATGAAAGAATAGTTTTAAATTTAAAGGGAGTATGGGAAATACTGTTTCTTAATTTTAAAAAATTAATTAAAAATTAATATCTAAAATATAGTAGAGTAAAATCAAGAATTATATAGTATGAGACCTTTTTCTGTTTGTTTTTTTGAGACAGGGTTTCACTATGTAGGACTCACCTGGAACTCGCTATGTAGGTCAGGCTGGCCTCAGTCTCATAGATTCACCTGGCCTCTGCCTCCTGAGTGCTGGGCTTACAGGCGTGCACTGCTATGCCTGGCTAGTATCAGTCTTAATAACAACAACAACAAAAAACCTTTGTTTCATTAATTTCATTATCTAGTCTTCAAAAGGAAACTTGATTATTAAACATTTTTGCTTTAGTTTTTATTTCTTTATAATATTAATGACACAGTTAAAGTTATAGTAGTAATTTTCTTTGATAATTTACAAGAACATCTAAAGTACAATCTGTAGGTTAATTCTAGTCTGTATTTTTTAAATGCTGACAGCATCATCATTATGCTAAGTTTTAAAAATCTTTTGAGGAAACAGATGAATTTACAAGGGATGAAAAAAATCTTAATTCATTTAGAATTCTACAATTAAAATGGAGTTCATAAAAATCATTGATGGTTTTCTATGAAACTTGATTTTCACATGCTAAAAGGGTTATTGCCTTTCATTTTTCCATTCTTGTATTTCCTCAATTTTTGCCATTAATATATTTAAGGAAAATATTTTTATGAAAGCAAAGAATATGGATGTATTTTGGAATATGTTAGAGCTGCTGTTTTGTTTTCAGATTTTTGAGACAGGATCTCCCTACAGCACCAGCTGGCCTAGAGCTTTCTATATAGACCAGGCTGGCCTCAATCTCACAGAGATCCACCTGTCTTTGCCTTCCAAGTGCTGGGATTATAGGTGTGCACCACCACGCCTGGTTAATAATCATATTTCTAATTTTGCACATAAATTCATGACAAAACCGTACATGGAATACAGTATACTCTGATGTACCTTAATATTCACAAGCATTTTATCTTATGAAAGTTCCCTTGATAAGGTTTACCATTTAGCATATGATTTTCTTACAAAATAGATTTTCAGAAACCTATCAGTAGAAAAGTGTGAGTCCATATTGAGATTCCTGTGTTGAGTAGACAGACTCAGTACCATGTAAGTGGACCTCTCTTACATAACCAGTTGGCATCTTCTGAGTTGTGCCTTAGAAAAAAAATACAGGTTATGAATCTTCATAATTGCTTCCAGACAATCAAATCTATTACTGTTACTGTCACTTGAGAAATACTACAATGAAACTATAAAATCTAGTTGACTTTTGGGTAAAATTTTTGCTGGTATAATTAAAACAATAATAAAACTAGCATAGGGCTGAGGAAATAGCTCAGTGGTAGAGTGCTTCCTAGCATGTACAAGGCCCTGGGTTCAGCCTCCAGTACCACAAAATGACATAACCAAAAATTCCAAAGACAGGGTAAGATTTTTTTCAAGGTTTTAGTTAGATAAAATAAGTAATTAAAAGCACGCTTTAAAAAAGAGTTCCTATAAATTGACTGCTGTGGTTGCTGTGATTATTATGAGTCATGAAATGAGGTATAACTTCTGAGATAAAATATTTTAAAGACTTACTGGACGTGGTGGCATGGGAGGCAGAGGCAGGCAAATCTCTGAGTTTGGGTCCAGCCTGATCTACATAGTGAGTTCCAGGCCAGCTGGGGCTACAGGGATACCCTGTCTCAAAAAGACAAAAAAAGACGCAAGTGTCTAAAAAATTTCATATAGCTTCCAGTTTTTATATTGTAATATAAATTTATTTTACTTTTGGAGATTATATAAGTATTTTATTATACATTGTAAATGTTCGCTTAAAATTAATTTTATTTAAATTAAAATTTCTAGTGTTTTATTTATATAAGTACAAATTAAAAGCATATCATTTTATCAGATTGTAAGATTTACTTTTCTTCAGCTACCACTTATTATGTAAATAAAAAACGTTTGGCTTACACATTACATTTTTCTAGAGAAAGATAAATATCTCCCTTGCACACAATGTAGGCTGTGCTGTCACAGGTAAAGAGCTGACAAAATTATCTACTTAGTTACTTTTAAAAGACTGGTTGTTAGAGAAAGGAAGCTGTTTTTTTGGGGGGGCGCTTTTTGAGACAGGGTCTCCCTGTAGCCCCAGCTGTCCTGGTACTCACTATGTAGACCAGGCTGGCCTTGAACTCACAGAGATCCCCCTGCCTCTGCCTCCCCAGTGCTAGGATTAACGGCGTACGCCACCACATTTCCTAGAAAGATAAATGTTATTTTATTTCCCAGAACTCCCAGACCCTTACTCAAGAGAAATGAAGACATGTTTATAAAACATCTATTTGTAACAGCTTTATTTATGATTGTGAAAAAGTAGAAGCAACTCAAGTACCCTTCATGTGATAGCTGTCATATACAATGGAAGCACACAATAATAAAAGGAAAAATATATTTATATTCACAATGTGTATGAATATTACAAAAGTATGTGAAGCCTAATTCTGAAAGGTTAGATGTGGTATGATCCATTTGAATGACATTATTAAAAAGGCCAAACTGGAGTGTTAAGGAATAGACCAGAGGCTACTAAGGGTTACAGGTGGCAGGTTGACTACATAGAAAGCATCAACATGAAGTTTTTTGGATGGTGAAACTGATATGGGGTTTGTGGTAATAGTTAATATATATCTCCTTAAAATTTCCAAAAATCCATACAAATGGATAACAACAATGAATTTATTTTTTAAAACAGTTTTTAACTCCTTCAAATGGGGAGGGGTCCTATGTTTTCATTATAACACATAATCAGACTCCTTGGTCCCTCATTACTTTAAAAAGCTGACTAGTTTGTCACTGCATACAGTAAAATAAGCCCAAGGACTATACTTCTGCTATCACCTCTCTGTATTTTTCCTGGCTAATTGTTACTCCTCTCTTCCACTTTGGAAATGAGTCATAACTTCAAGTGTCTCTCTTTTTTTTTTTTTTTCTAAAGCAGAAACCTTGAATTTGTTACTTGGTATGTCTTTCTGTTTTTTCTTTTCTAACCCCTCCCCCAATAGTATACACAGGTTCGTACCCTATTCTTTTTATTCCATTCAGTTACTCAGGTAGGTCTTAGGATATAAAGATTAATAAGGTATGGTTTCCTTGAAACCTGGTGTTAAAGTGCAGAAAGAGGATAATTTAGCAAATAATATATGCTGAGTCATCATGTCATTGCAAAATTATTTCTGTTGTGGTGAAGTACAAAGGAGTACATAGTCTGTCCTGTTTGTTTGAGGGCCTCACATAGGAAAAAGGCAGAATGGTGCCTCAAATGAAAATTACAATTTAATTCTTTAAAATGTCACATCTAACTTTGCCCATTTATGAATTAGTACATCAGGTTAAGAAAAATAAATTTAGCAATAAAGTGGTCAAAAACAACTTTGTGAAGTTCAACTAGAAGATACAGGGATTAAATTTCATAAAGTCTATATAGAAAATAACTACTTAAGATGAAAAGTGTTCTGAGTCATTCTAGAGAATTATAAACTTATTCTAACATATATTAAAAAAAAACCATCAAAATGAGACACATCATTTCTTGTGAATTAATCTGCTAGTTAGTCTTACAAATACTGGACTTACTGACTCACATTCAAGTTAGGTCTTATATTGATACTGAATATTTTACTGGTTACTCTTGTGTATAGCTAACCTTTTCTTTTGCCCTTAAGTTGCCATATTTTATCCTTTTGAGCCTTTTCATCTTCTTGACTGTATCAAGTATGTTTCTATCCATAATACTTCATCACACGGCTTTGCTGTGTTGGGGGCCTATTCTTCCCAGTGTCTGAGTAGTCAACTCTCCCATCTTTGAAAAGTAATCAGTGAGGCCTGGTCCTTGCATACTATTTAAAATAATAAATCATGCCCCTATTTCTTAACCTCCCCCAACAGTCCTCACATTTTTTTCTCCACATTTAGTCTGTATTTCTAACATTTTATGTGATTTACTCACTATGATCCTTTATTGTTTTTTGTATGCCTTACCATGCCTCATATCTTTTTCTGTTTTTTTGATATATTCCAAATTTCTAGTACAGTGAGATGGTAGGCATTCAGTGAAAATTTGTTGGAAAATTGAGTATTTGATGCAGGAGCAATACTCTATTTTCTCCCCTAATATGACTTGAATTCAGACTCTTTGAAAAGAGCTGAAACTCCTGTGACTTGCTTGACACTTCAG